ACCTTTTGAAAGCATACCACCCCAGTGACAGGTTTGTGTACCTTTTTTCTAAAATTGTAGGATTGTCGCAGAAATGTTTTCACCAAGGAGATGAGGGAGTCAGTGCATCCTTAAAAAAGCCAGATGACAAAATAATCAGCAGTAATAAAAACTAAGATGCAATGAAATAAGTAATGCTTAAATCACTTGGCTTTCTTGATGTGACACTAAGTTTTCTTTTTAATTTGAAAAAAGTTTCATTTTCAGTAACTGTCATGTTTGGGGTCAATTTTTTTCCGTCTTAATTTAAGTTCTGAATGCCGTTCCCATTCATCAAATAATTCATAAAAAAATTATCAGTTTTCATAAAATATTAATCAGCAATTCAACATGTTCAACATTGATAAAAAATATTCTAAATCAGGTTTTGTTGTTATATTTTCAGTTTTATTTTTAATTTTAGTTTCCTTTTTAGTCATTTTGTTGTGTGTTTTTGCCATTTGAATTATTACTTTTTAATATTACTATTTTTAATTATTTTGATTTAAGTTTTAGTTTCATCTCAGTTTTATTTTTTATTTATTGGAAATAAATTAAGGAAACACTGGAAATAAAAATAATTGCATAAATTGCTAAGGCAATATTTATTTATATTGCTTGCTCTGCTTTCAGTTCTATAAGTCTTCATTAAGATCAAATCTAGAAGAGACCTCCAGGAATCCAGTTCATGTCCTGCGGGCATTATTTCTGTGCTGTACGAGAGAACAGACTTGCATACATTAGGTAATGAGACACTATAAGATGGTTTTCAGTTCTTGAGGATGAACAGTTGTCCTGTTATAAGATACTTCCACACACAGAGGTGTAAAATGTACAGAGAAATTACAATGAAATTAAATTAAAGTAAGGATACCATATGAACCTTTACCCTCTTTATCTGTGCTGTGATGACAAATTATGCCTCTTCGACAAACCTCTTTCTACCTTTCAGAAGTCTGGGGTCTGTATGTTTTGCATACTTTTATTCAGCAAGGATGCATTCAATAAATTAAACTGACTTTAAAGACATGTATAATGTTACAAAAAAAAATCATATTTCAAATAAATGCTGTTCTTGTGAACTTTGTATTGATCAAATAATCCTGAAAAAAAATGTATCACAGTTACAACTATTTTGAACATTGATAATAAGAATTATTTCTCGAGTAGCAAATCAGCATATTAGATTGATTTCTGAAGGATCATGAAATAACCATCAAACACAGTTTCCTAATACTAAATATTACTATTATTTATATAAAATATTATTTATTGAACAATATTTAATAAACAACAACAGCCATCATAAAAGTTGCTAGGCAATTCAGTCAAAAGTACAAAGGCAGCGCTCTGATATACAGCATTCATCATGTTACATAAACATGATGAAACTATATTGCCAAAACTATTTGTTCTGGAACAAATAGATTAATGAGACCAAAGACTGCCTATTAGATTTACTCAAAACTAAATATATCTCATGTTTAGCCACTATAGAGACATCAGAGCCAGAGGTAAATTCCAGAAGATCTGGCCGAGGTGAGGCTGCTCTCGGTGGGTTCATGATCGCTGAACGGCCGCTGACGCCCGGGAGCTCACATCTCCGAAAACGTCGAAGCAAATTTTCAAATAGATGTTATCTTTATTAACAAACCGCGTATTTGAAGTCCAAACAAGTACATTCTCGACTAAAAAACTCTTAAAACTATATTGACACAGAAAAACAGTATTATTCTTAAATTATAGTGGATTTGACACTCACTTTGAGAAATACGGCAAGCGAAGTGATACATGATACAAACGGTGAAGTGGTTGGAGGCAAGTATACCCGGCTGCAGCCTGCAAAATGGGGCAGGGCTGCACCTGGGGCGGAGCTACATGCATCACCCCACCCACAAATGGGTTCATTGGCTTATGATAAGTAATAAGCTCTGTTATCACTCTAACATCGCACTCTTATCAGCCAATCAGATTCGAGGACCAGACAGAACTGTTGTATAATTGTAAACATCATACTTTTTTTCACTTATTTTTAGTTAATGTCATAAAACTAGCGAGCTAATCCAGTAGCAGTCACATAAACATGGCTGAAGATGCGAAAAGTGAGGAACAGAGAAACCGAGAAACCGATTCAACTGATTGAGTCATTTACGCAATCTCCAAGTAAGACAATCTCTGGATACAAATGGCGAAACGGTTATTACTAGAATATCACACCTCTGGAAAAGGCTCTCAGCCAATAAGAAATTAAGGAACAGAAAAAAAACTTTTATAAATTGCAATAATATTTTTGCAATATTACTGATTTACTTTATTTTTGATCAAATAAATGGAGCCTTAGCGGGCATAAGAGACTTCTTTCAAAAACATTAAAAAATCTTACTCACCCCAAACTTTTGAACAGTAGTGTTAATATAACTGCAAAAAGTAAGAAACGATAATAACGAAACTAATAACCAAAAAGCATTATGAATAAATGCAGACCACCTCAGGTACCTTTGGTTACATGATGTCAATCCACATAAAACATGTCGGTACAGAAGAGTCTCTGATCGGAAGCTGTTTGCTGCTGAAGACATGCTGTGGCTCTGATGTAAGGAAAGGCAGATGTCCAGACATGTAAAGGTTATTTCTGTTATGGGTGTTAAGTCCCTATGAGTGCCCTGTAATATCATTGCTTGACACCTGAAAATCAGCCCTTCCAGGTCTTCCTTGAATTCCCTATATGGTTGGCTTCTTTCTGGACAAGAGTATACAGGCATAATACTGACTGAAAACTATCGGACCTACATTTATGAAGTTAAAAGTGAAGTGTATAAATTCTATGCCACTAAACAGAATTGCATAAATAAAAATAATGACAATTATCACAGTTGTCATTCAGAGGATTTGGAGTAGACTACAGTGCCACTAAAGCTGCAGAAATAAGGACTTCGCTTTTAACACTGAAAGAAAGAAACATGAAACAGTTAGCAATTATGCCACACCAATAGCATAAAAAAAATGATCTATGATCAACGTACAACACACAGACTGAATTCACCTTATTGTATATTGTATTGAGCAGCAGAGATGAAGTGATGATCTTCATATGCACCATTACAATCTCAATAATCACCAATAATCTAAAAGGTAGCATACACAGAGCAAGTGCCATCATTTCAACATAAAAATGCTTACATTCATAATGCTGGATACCAACAAATGATATTAAAACAATTTTAGCAATACCATGAGGGAAAAAATTACATTAGACTTGCATGGTCCCCATAATTTCTCTGGGATTTAGAAATCATCGTTGGTCAAAAAATAATGTGTAGGGATTAAAATCTACACAAGTCATTTGAGTTATTAAATTGAACTACAAAAATATAACAGCCCACAGAGAGAATGTGATTAACAAGATTAAAACCAGATGAAGTTGTTCAGGTGTTCTTAATAAAAACGGCAAAAGACTGCATTTCGTGTGGATCGTGCTATGAAAGGTTAAACATTTTTGACAGGTTTTCATTTTTGCAATTTCATATCAGCAGCTTTTTTGGAAGAACTTACCATTAAATGTGCCAAAGTTCTTCTAAAGGTTTGTTTCAGACACTTTTCAGGAGGTTTATAGGTTTATAGTCATACTGTGTTGTAAGTTATGTCTATGAAATAATCATTAATAATTTTGGATTAACAAAAACAAAGAAATTCTAATTAGAAAGTACACATAAACATGCCCCTAAAAGGCACACAAAAACAAATGGAACTGTCAACGCATGCTTTTAATGCCAACCGGACTGATCATTCTTGCTTCAGTATTGGTCAGAATTAGTCACAATTGCACCAGACTTCATGCTAATAGTCAGATTTACTAGAGAGTAGATGAGTTTGTTCTTTATCAGATTTTGAGAAATTATAGCATTAGATGACCTGCTCACCAAAGGATCCTTTGCAGTGAATGGGCGCCGTCAGAATTTATGTCTTATGAAGTGAAAAGCTGCATGTTTGTAAGTAACAAATCCATCATTAAGACGTTTTTAACATCAAACTGTCATTTGTGGCTAAAATAATAGTCCTCTATCCGTAATATTGCTTTTTCCAATGAAAAAGTAATCTCATCTGAATCAGGAGAGAACAGTGGGTGTACTTTGATTTGAGAGGACAACAGGGGATGGACTTTTTCACTGGAGGAAGCGTTATTTTGAACGATAGACTCAAAATGACGGTACAGTTAAAGTGTCTTGATGGATTTGTTTCTTACAAACTTGCAGCTTTTGACTGATGGACTGGAATAGTGTTGTTTACTTGTGGATTATTGTGATGTTTTTATCAGCTGTTTGGACTCATTCTGACGGCACCCATTCACTGCAGAGGATCCATTGGTGAGCAAGTGATGTAATGCTAAATTTATCCAAATCTGTTTTTAAATGAAGAAACAAACTCATCTACATCTTGGATGCCCCGAGGGTGAGTAGATTTTCAGCAAAATTTCATTTTTGAGTGTAATTCATTCTAAATTCATTTCAACAGCAGCCACTGATGGTCACTGCGGTTTCACTGCG